ATTTTGTTTTGAATGTAGTAGCATAACATTTGAACATGGGAGGTATAACTAGTACATAATAGCATAATAAAACAGCAAATGTATAAATAGATTGCAGTTCAGAGTTTCATAAAATAAAATTAACTACACACACATTTTATTTCTTTTACTTATTTATTCATGTTTTGCAGAAATATTAAAAGAATCATATGATTTAGACAATGTATGGTATTCTTTTTCATACACTGTTTCAAAGACTTTTGACTTTGTCTATATATCCTGCCATACTACTCTACTATATTTTGTACCACTGTACATTATATTATTTTCATATTATACACAGTTTTAATATGCAAAAACATGTATTTTTAATATATACCCTTTGACATTTTCTTCTTCTTTTAGTAAGTAACGTGTTACAGCAATTTTAGCTTTCAGTATTCCATACTTTATTACCTTATTACTTTTTTTTATTCTGTCTGTAAAATCATTATAATAAGGCTTCAAATGTGGATGTTTATAGATACAGCTTTTCAAATGACCACAATCTGTAAGAAAAACCTTTCACATTATTTATTGACAAAATTGACTATATTTTTTAATAGTGACATCTGATGATAAATAGTTTTAAAAAGTGTTTCTAACAGACTGTGGCCATTTGAATAGTTTATTCTAAAAAAATTCTATCAAGGCCAAATTTTGGTTGAAGTTAAACTTTGTAAACAAATTTGAAATGGGAGCACTTTTTTGTAACTCATATGATTACCGGTTGTTCCTTAATACGCATCTTGTCCAGCTTACTTTAGATCACAGTGATAATGGCATATGTTTCTTTATTCAATGGCTGTGAGAATTTTAACATGACTACAGAGAGAATCATAAAATATATTTTTTACATTTTTGAAACACATGGTTATTTCTCATCAAATTTGTTACAAAATAATGATTTTATTATAGCATATTTAATGTGGTTTTATCTTTTGCCGCATGGAAGAAGTGTAGTTACAAGAAAAATAAGTGTGCTTAGATTTAAGTATTCTGATGTTATAACTGTCCTATACAAGACTTGCACTATACATTATTTTATATTATCATTGTTTTGGTTTTACAGAATGTTATTTGAAATCATGATATATGTATCATTTATGATATGCATCCTGTGGGTTTATTCACTAAAAACAAGACCAACCTGCAAACCTTAGGCAAAAATGTACGGATTGACAAATAGAATTGACACATCTGTACAGGCAATAATGTATTTAACTCTTTGGGTGCCAGCTGGTTGTCACTGCAGTTTACTATTTAGTGAATAGGTTGTATGCACCATTACCACTTTAGCTCAGATTAGTGGCAATGATGAAAAGACTTTGGAAGCTTTGCCACAATTATTTTGTAAAACTGTTTTGGAGAGGTTTGGTAAAAACTAGGCCCACCTCCTCTCTAGACACATCAATAGTGTGGAATTTCAGCCAACTGGAAAAATTGCCAATTCCATAAAGCTGGAATGTTTGGCTGGCAATATTCTGTTTGGGATGTAATGTTTATGCTGCTTAGAATGCCATATTTAATAGATTTATTAAACTAACCCATTTAAAAAAAAAATTGTGCAATTTTTTATTTAGCAAAAATGTTTATGTGTAGGAAAATGAAACCAGAAAGTAATTATTTTATACACATCATCTTGTATACCAAACTGGCATTTTTTTATATACACAATGATTCAAGCTTCGAGGGTGATTTTTAAGGTTTTATGTCATGAAAAACTGATTTTTATAGCGTTGAAAATAACATCTCTTTAGCTCCTAATTGTCAATGAAGAAAATGAAATGAAACCATTTTTAGGAAACAAGTGAAAATAGCTAGTTTATTATTAATGCAATCCGGTAAGAAATTAAAGTAAAAGGCAATTTGTGAAACATACTTTTTCTCAAGCTAGCACTACAGTAACTACTACAGTGTGATTACCAGGAATACATTTTACCATTCTCGTCTAGCAGATGATGCATATTTTAATCATAGTCACTGAAGAGAAATTATGCATTTTACCAACAAAAGTGGTTATCTCATCTCTTTCCGGCATGAGTTATCCTCTGGCTCTTGCTCTTTGGGGTGTTTTTTGTCCCCATTGATGTTTGTCAGTCTGAATGGGTTATAAGAAAAATTTGGGAAGCTGTATTTGTTTCTGTTTCATTTTTCTCTGTTCATTTGGAATGAAAAGGTTTGATACTAATTTAGATTTAGGAAATTAAGCTGCACAATACATATTATCTAGCAAAACTGCATGTAAATGTAGGAGTTTAAAAGAAAATATTTGGTTGGAAATGGATTTTAGGGTAATATGGTAAGTCACAGGCAAAACAAAAATGAATCTAATGGTATACTAATCGAATAGTGATAATCGATTACACACTCTAGGTTACTATTATACCTCACTGAACTGCAAAGTATGATGCTGTACAGGACAATAGGTGGAGTACCAGTGATACTGTGCCAATCACTGGTCATTCCAAAAAAATGGTAAGTTCACCTGACATGCATACCAGGATATAAAGGGCAGTTTTGCTGGTGATAACCACTAATTGCATAATTTGCAGTTTTGTGACTTCTTCCTGAATTTGGTCTTGGGGCTTATTATGAGGTCTCCAGAACCAGAGGCGTAACTAGAAACCACTGGGCCCTAGTGCAGAGATTGCCCTGGTGACCCCCCTATGTGTCTTATTCCTCCATGTGTCTCATCACCCCCAGCCCCTCCACATGTCTCATTCTCCCTGCAGCTCCTCCATGTGTCTCATCAACCCGAGTCTCACAATGTGTCTCATCCCCCCCAGCTCCTCATGTGTTTCCTCCCCATATGTGTCCCATTCCCTCCCCAGCACCTCCATGTGTACCATTCTCCCCCAGCTCGACCATGTGTCTCATTCTCCCCCAGCCCCTCCATGAGTCTGAATTTGGTCTTGGGGCTTATTATGATGTCTGCAGAACCAGAGGCGTAACTAGAAACCACTGGGCCCCAGGGCAGAAATTGCCCTGGGGCCCCCCTCTGTGTCTTATTCCTCCATGTGTCTCATCACCCCCAGTCCCTCCACATGTCTCATTCTACCTGCATCTCCTCAATGTGTCTCATCAACCCCAGTCTCACAATGTGTCTCATCCCCCCAGCTCCTCCATGTGTTTCCTCCCCATGTGTGACCCATTCCCCCCTAGCACCTCCATGTGTACCATTCTCCCCCAGCTCGACCATGTGTCTCATTCTTCCCCAGCCCCTTCATGAGTCTCATTCTCCCCAGCCCCTCCGTGTGCCTCCCCCTAGCCCATCCATGTGTCTTATTTCCTCCCCCTCAGCCTCTCCATGTGTCTCCTTCCTCCTCCAGCCACTCGATGTGTCTCCTCCCCACCACACATCTGTGTAGCTTTGCCGAGTGAACTACAGTACCCGATCAGACAGTAAGTGCTCTCTCAATGAGCACTTTCTGTTAGATCGTGGTCCACTTGGCCTTGCTACATACTGTGCTGTGTGCTCCCCTCCTGCCAGTAACCAAGTGACCGCGTGTCCCTGGTCGATGCAGTTGTGCACCAGTCCTGAAGTTATGCCCGACACAGGGTTGTGATAGGTCGAGAGCTGTGACCCCTGCAACCGCTATAGGTACGCCACTATCCAGGACCCTACTGTTCTGTATTTTCTCTATCACTTGCTATTTATCTTTTTCTCTGTTCTTCTCTCTTTCTCTCTCTATTTTCCCCTTTCAGATTTCCTTTATTTTTTCATATTTGTCATGCTGTATTGTTTTCAGATTATTGCTGCCCCACTACAGTCTGTAATAAATTACCAACATAGTCACAATTTGGTCATTGTGACCAGTTTTTGTCCATTGGGAAAATTGACTATGGAAGGTAACAATCCTCTTTCGGATCATTCACTAAACACAAGATTGTTGAATAAGGCGAGAGAGGATTGTTACCTTCCATAGTGACTTGATTATATTCATTAGAATTATTGATGCCCCTTTCTCAGGTGTACCAGTGTGCCATGGTATGATATAGAGGTATCCCTTGTAACATTTATTGTTCGATACCTAATGTCACTTGGTGCTATGAAACTTTTTTCTTTAAATAAATAAAATTTTAATTGTAAACACTGAAATCAGCAAGGAGACAAATGCGTTTTCATAGCACTGTGTATATACATATGCAAATACACAGTTAAATTAATGTTCTAGATAATTTTTTATGTAATGCGCCATTTACATTAGTGTCATCTACAGAGATTTGTGAAAAGAGAATTTTTTCAAGTGGAAAGCATAGATACTAGTTATCCTTTATATACATGCTCTGTTGAATATTGCTAAGGTAACGTTTAATTTAAGTAATCAAAGTGATCTATTGACACTTGAGAAAAGGCAATTTCTAACGCATACCAACAACAGTGAAAATAGAAATAATAATAATTATAATAGATGCACATGTAATAAATGGAAATTAAATATGGATTTTATCAAAAAATGTGGACATTATTATTGCTAATATGTTTTTGTTGAAAATCAAAAATGTTATTCCAGATGAATCAAAAAAGGATTTTCTTCTTGAGGCGCAATGGGAATCTTGAGTCTTTTGTGTTGGGCTGGGCTATCAATTAGGATTCTATTATCCTGTTTTTAAATTATAACATAATAAAAAATGGATGTCTCTGTTATCTTTCAGAGTATACTGATCTCCTTGATATAACATGTTAATTATTTTTGTATTTTATTTTCTACAGGTACACAGTTCTTTATAATGGTCATCATCAGGAACAGGATAGACTTCCCATCCATAATGACCCGGAGTCACAAGAATCTTGCTTTTAAGTTTACAGGTTTAAATACCAGTGTTCAATTTCAAAAACGGACCAGAGTTACGGGAATTACATCTCAAGAACAACAGAGCAGGTCACGGAGGCTGCATCAAAACTTATTGTAGTGTTTGTTTCCTGAATAAAAAGAACTGGACTCTATTCTTTGGCCGGAACTGCTCTTCCAGGAGTACATGGTGATTTTGTGTTTTTCTGGCTATACCTGAGTCAGAATAAGTGTGTGGTCATAGAATGTATTGCCAATTCTTCCTGGTTCCCTACTGAAACGTTAAACCCTACAAGCCTTGACTTGATAGAAATTTGCAGATCTGTCGGAATGGACACAGGAAGAATAACCAAAGAGAGCAAAGAAAAGTCCTATGTGGCACATTTACTTATATAAGATGCACTTGCTGGTCTTCATATGCAAGGCAATATGAGGTTATTTGCAGTATTTAGATCAATATTTTGACCTTCACACAGGCTTTTTTTAGCATTGAAAAAGTCATGTGGTACATTTTTATACTCTTGAATGAACTCTAGAATTCCTGTGAATTCTAGCACATGGATGATTAGGACTTCAGTTATTTGAATATTATTGCCTATATATATGCACACATACAAACACACATGAATACTGTATATGTGTGTATATATGTGTGTATATTTCTAAGTATATATTTTCATTGCCTGACTTTGAAATGGATATTCCCAAAAGTGATTATGAAATCTGGAATGAGAAGAAACAAAATATTTTCCATGTAATTTGTGCATGTATTTTATTACTTATAGTATTTGTATTGAACAGTTGGCTTGTCTCATGATGTTTAAACTGATAACATATCCTTTTCCATCATTGTTTTCTGCTTGAATTTTCAGCAGGAGAATGAATTGCAATATCGTTCAGAAGCTCTTGTTCCATTAGTATCACTGATGCGGTACACATTCCATGTTAAAGTCAATACTAGTTTTCAAAAATGTTGCTGCTATATGTGAAAAGGGACATTTTTTTCTCAGTTTTCTGTGCAATGACATGAGCATCAATCATTCTTCAATACAATTTATTTACATGAAATAGTCTAGGCATATGTATAAACCTTTTGCCAAATGTATATTGAACAAAAAAGTTTTGTGAGAGTTAATACAAAGTCCACAAGTCTTATATAAATTAAGAGCTTGAGCTTGAGGAGAATGAAGGCAATTTTTGTATGAGAACTAACAAATTTGACTGTGTCACAGTGACAGACGTGCATATTTTGTGAGCCCATGTAAGTCTTAGTGCAAGAGCGTGTACAGGAAATTTGCAATTCAAGTTGTAACTTTGAATATATAAAGACCTTATATGATCGTGATGCCCCCAGTACCATTTTTTTTTAACAATCCCCAACAATTAATTAATCAATACCCATACCAATACTTTTATCATACAAATACCCATGTTTGCTCTCTCTCTTCTCGTTCTTCAATTAGCTTCTACTTTCCAAGTGAAGTTCAGGCTAGACATTTTCTACCTGCTTTTTCCCCACTTAATATGTACTGATAGCCCTAGCTGATACATTAATATAATGTGTCAAGCTGAATATTTATTCACTCAAGTCTCCAGGGTTTAAAGTTACCCTGTGATCAGTATCAACCCAGCGGTCCTAGAGTGCCATTAGTGGAACAAGACTATTAAACACAATACACAGGTATTACATAATTAGTAATATTCTTTTTTATATGTGTACACACACACACACACACACACTATTATAAATTGGTGATGACATTTGAAAGAAGAACATACAAACAGTATATAAAACACATACTTAGATCAGCAGTAACTTATTCCACAAGTAACCCAAATATGAATGGAAAGATCTATTCACTTGTTAAAAGTGAACTGCATCTCAGAGAGTTGTAAGTCATAAGTATAAGTTAAAACCATGCACCAATATTGCCTTCATTATGAGGTCACTTTGAGTATTCACATTTCTCTCTTATAGATGATTTATTGTGGTTATATGTATCTTGTTTTTTTTGAAGGGAGCCATAAAAATATATGCACATAATAAATATCATTGCACACTGGTGTCTCTAAATTGATACAGGGTACTTTCCTTATGGTCTAGATGTGTCTTATTTAGCCCTTCCTGAATAAAATATTTGTATTGGGGTACTGTACACATGTTAAACTAAAATTATGTTTGTGGTTTTTTCATGCATATGTTTGAGGATATCTTTACAGCTTTTAATAAAGTCTACAGTCAGTAGGAATTGTTCTAATGCTGTATTGAGATTATGGTAATTCAAAGCATTTTGATCAAGCATACTGGCACAACTTGGAAAAAAGCCTTAAGCATTTAGTTCATATGACAAAGTATATAAAACCTTTATCTGTTAAAATATACAACAAAATGTATTTGTTTTCTGACTGGTTTATTGAAACAGTGTATAGAAGAGAAGGAAAATTAGGATAATCAAAACAAAGTTCAGAATTTGCATTGCCAAATGCTGATGCACCCTTGGTGCATCTTGTTTTTATAGAAACATAGAAACATAGAATGTGACGGCAGATAAGAACCATTTGGCCCATCTAGTCTGCCCAATTTTCTAAATATTTTCATTAGTCTCTGGCCTTATCTTATAGTTAGGTTAGCCTTATGCCTATCCCATGCGTGCTTAAACTCCTTTACTGTGTTAACCGCTACCACTTCAGCTGGAAGGCTATTCCATGCATCCACTACCCTCTCAGTAAAGTAATACTTCCTGATATTATTTTTAAACCTTTGTCCCTCTAATTTAAGACTATGTCCTCTTGTTGTGATAGTTTGTTCTTTTAAATATAGTCTCCTCCTTTACTGTGTTGATTCCCTTTATGTATTTTATCTGCCTTTTTGGTCCACTTGGCACATCCTGTTTTTTTCTGCCTTTTTAAATTCTAATAAAACCATTAGATTTATATATTAGGGCGTTTAGGAAAGTCAATTAAAGTAGCAATTCTCATTATTAACATCTGAAAATGTTCAAACTTCCCCCAAACTGAGCTGCATGAGTTCCAATTTAGAATTTATTAGCATGATTGACCAGTTTTTCAAATAACTCAAGAATCAATTTTCTGAATTATTCTTGAGCGATTTTACCTAATTAATAAATGCCTGCTGATTGTACAAAAAGGCAATAGGCAAATAGTTCATACCATAGGATTAACCAGTAGGGCTTCATCAATATAGTTGGATTGATCAACGGGTCCCTGTTGGTTGATAGAGTATTCAGTGAATCCCTGTATATTTAATACTTATTTACACACTGGCTAGCAAGAAATGGTGTGTATTTCAGAGGTTTCGATCTGCAAAATGCGGAAGAAATGTGTCTGAATTTGTCTCCAACTGCACAGTTTTGGAGACAACTCAGCGTTTGACAAATAATTGAAAACATTTCGGTGTATCAATTTTTTTTTTATTGATGAAAGAATTTTGCATACATAGTTTAAACATGTAAAAAGTTACATGTGATAAGCTGGTAAATGGAACAAAACATATAGCAAAACATGAAGCATGTGCATTATATTGCGTAACATCATAAAGGTACAGTATTCAGTTGTGGATGTTATGCCAACGGGACCAAATATGTTCAAACTCAGACATTGTGCTAAGCATTTTCTGTGTCATCTCTTCATACATTTTCTCCTGAGCTAACCTCACAGATGAGGGCCAAAGAGGTTTCCGCGACCCTGCTATGGTACAATGTGCAGCCACTAAAATATACATACTTATAGCTCTATCTGTTTCTGGAATATCTTTGGGTAGAATATCGAGGAGATACATTTTGGGCTGCAGTGGAAGAGTATACTTTGCCCATTTAAATGTTATGTTTTGTTTATGGGCCCAAATGATATCTACTGCCAGGCACTACCAGAAGATATGGCTTAGGGAGTCGTTATCTTTCCGACATCTCCAACAATTTGACAGAGAGTGTTCAGGTAAACGTGTTCTGACAAACACAGGGGTTATTAGATACTACCTCATCAGTAGCTTTCTGTTGGCTTTGATATGGTTTAGATAATTTGAGGTTCCCTGTATTTGAGAGCTCACTATGCCCATTTTTCTAGTAAAAAGTGTTTAAATCCTTTTCACATTGTAGCAGATATTGGAGCTTAGGTTGTCTCAAGAGACTTACAAGCCATAACCAGTGACTCAGGGCCGGTGCAAGGATTTTTGGCTACATTGGCCAACATGCATTTTGCCATTCCTCTCCCCAATAAATGCATTTTCACTTCAGTGTCTCATAACTCCCCTTTTGAATTTCGTAGACCCTTTAGTGGCTTATATCCCCTCTCTATATTGTCTTACCCCTTTTGGCCCTTTTGTGTACTATACCTCCTTTAGTGTATTTTATCACCACTTTAGTGTGTCTTACACCCAGGGCTGCCATCAGGGCATGACAACCATAACTTGTCATAGGCCCGGCGGTCCTGGGGGGCCCGGACATCTCTGGCAGTCCGAGCCCCACATTCCTTATATATGTGCACTGAGGGCCCCTTGCTACCTGTACATTGCAGAGGGGGGCCCACCAGAACTCTGTTCTCCTTTCCAGCTACTCTCTGTCTAACTTTCCTGTGGCCGCCAGAGTGTTGTCACGGGTTACCATGGCAACGCTCCGCACAGCACGCAAGCCATTCTCGCAAAAGTTAGTCAGAGAGGAGCTGGAAAGGAAGACAGTGTGTGCTGCTGGCCTCCCCTCCCCCCCCCCCCCTCTGCAATGTACCACGGATGGCACCATTCACCATGCGATCTCCCCCCTTCCTGGCACGGTAAGAAACAGGGAGGGGGGAATACAATTTAAATACACACAAATAATTTTTTTTTTCAAAATACTCCCCTCCCCCCTATGTTACACACACACTCATTTACTAAACACTCTGCACTACTCACACTAAATTCACTAAACACACTCTGCACTCACTACAAACACACTACATTCACTAAACACACTCTGCACTACACACACTACATTCACTAAACACACACAGTACATTCACTAAACACAATCTGCACCACACATAATACATTCACTAAATACACTCTGCACTACACACACTACATTCACTAAACACACTCTGCACTACACACTACATTTACTAAACACACTCTGCACTACACACACACACACACTACATTCACTAAATACACTCTGCACTCACTACATTTACTAAACATACTCTGCACTACTCACAAACTACATTCACTACAAACACTGCATTCACCACAATCCCACTACATTCATTATACACATTTAGCATTCACTACAATCACACTACATGAACTATACACATTTTGCACTCACTACAATCATACTACATGCACTATACACACTTTGCAGTCACTACAAACACACTACATTCACTATACATATTTTGCATTTACCACAATCACACTACATGCACTATACACACTTTGCACTCACTACAAACACACTACATTCACTACAAACACCAGTGGTGTATCCTGGTTTTGTGCTGCCCTAGGCAGGACAAAACTCAGGCGCCCCCCCCCCCCCCCCCCCCCAACCCTTCCCCCCCACCCCACCTCTAAACACAC